AGCTGGGGGCAGAGCAATTCTGCCTCCAGCTTCCTGTAGTCAGCCCCTGGTCAGTTTCAGCAGCAGCGGCTGAATCTGGAGCCAGTTCCGACTTACATACAAATTCAACTTAATAACAAACCTATAGTCCCTATCTTGTATGTAACCCGGGGACTGCCTGTATGTAAAAGAACACAAGATTTGACCATGTGACATGTGTTCTTTATTCCCGATGACAGATGAAAATACTCCTGTGTGGTAACAGTGGGAGGTCGAGTACGTTTGTCTTTGTACTTTAATAGCTCTTAATAATTTTATTGATTGAATAATCAAGTGCTTTTAAACTAACATTTCCAATTCAAAAGCAGAAGGTAGCAACAGACTGTTTCACACAGGAGGTCTTTGTTGACAAAAAGCTCAGTTTTAATATAAAGATGATTATGCTTCCCAGCAGACACACTTCCTCTATTCAAAGTATATGAAGCCATCAAAACCTAAGTTGATGAACTCTATAATGCAAGAGGAATCACAATTTATGACTCCAAAGGAAAATAAGATGAAAAAGTTAAACTGCTGATCATTACTGATTTATATAGCACCATCCTGCTTTAGGGTACAATGTTTCCCCACTTCTGTAGTCTGATGGTGAAATTCAACATACATTAACACTGGTTACATATAATATTAGGTATTGGGGAGCGACAGGATTAGGTTCAGTATGTAGATGCATCCACATCTATGCATTATCTTGCCTGGAAAGAACAATTACTTCTAAAAAGTTTACCTTGCCCAGAGCTATCAGCACAGACCAGTAGGAAAAGCCAGGGATCAAATACGGATGCAAATATAGTTGCAAGCCTTAGTACGCTGAGGCCAGGTCGACACAGATGGAGAAAACTGATGCAAGATATGCAACTCTAGTTACAAGAGCTGCGTAGCTGGAGTCAACATACCTTGCATTGATTTTCTGAGGTGGTGCCAGAATGGAAGGTTGACAGGAGAAACAGTCAACTTCTGTTAATCCTTGTAACTGCAAGGAGTTCCAGGGTCAACAGGTACACCCTGAGCATTCAATTTAGTGGATCCTTACTAGACCCATTAAATCGAACACTGGAAGATCACTCTCTAGAGTTCTGATCTTCCAGAAGTGAAGACAAGCCCTTAGTCACTAAAATAAGCCAGCTGGAAATATTATGAGCCTTTTGAACTTGCTTAGTTTACTCAAAAGGCATCTGTGTCAATTTCTCAAGGACTGGGTTTACTTTATTGTGTATGTTCTAAAATTTTGTTTTGTTTTTCTGATTTGAAAGCAACATGCCTTTGGAAAAACATACTACTGAGCAATCTTTTACCTTCTGCTGGTTTGTAAAATGCAGACAATTATAGAAGTCTTGAGGAGAGAGATTGAACTTAACCTACAACGTACACTTCATTATGATATCAGAGAACTGTATAAAAAAAGTAAAGACGCCAATGCTTGCCTGTCCCAGAATAGTGAACAGTGAAGCACATTAGTCAATGAGGAAAGTAAATATCCATTTGATTGGCAACTGGAAACTTCTTCAATTTAATTTAATATGTCCATATAAACAGGCAGGAATTATCAAATCTGTCGTGGACAGCAGGAAGATTAGGATTCTTTGAAATGCGGTATGGTAATGAGTCCCTCTTCCTGTACATGTGGATACTGATCTCAGCAGCAATGACAACATTCCAGGATCTTTAAATCAATCCGCCAAAGAGGCATTTGTATAAGTTAAACTAACTGGACTTATGAAAGAAGCAGCAAGAGAGAAAATATTTTTTCCAAAGCAAAAATAATATCCTTGAAGTTAAAGATGGCAAAGAATTACCAGTCCTCTCACAGGTGTCAGTGAAAGATGTAGCGCTTAGTCCAGTCTAGTTATAAGTGTCCTGAGCACTGAAGTTTCTACACTGCCCATGGGAAACTATTCTAGGCTTGGATATTGTTAGACCATTATGTCAGATATTCAAGGACAATCAAGGGTTCATTTTCTCCAATTATTCTTGCTCTCACACAATTCTACACAATTCTTGTTGGCATTACACCCTTCAAACACTTACTAGAACAAAAGGATAGGCTCTACAATTCTTCCCCATATGTCAACATCAATATTTTTAGTTAATCTCACTGCATGATATTTCATTAGCTTTCTCTAAAAGTCAGTCCCTCAAACATACTCCCATGGTCTTATGTTTCACTTAAAAATAAATCAAACATCTTACATTTGCTCCAAGTTTGATGGATATTGCAGGTGCCTTCTTTGCTGTCTGACTGCCTATGGCAAATCCAAATTTGGACATTTTGGCAGGAGCGGGCTTTGTGGTGAAATCTTCAGCTTCTTCATCAGCTACCCGTTTCTCTGCGCTGCGACTCGAACTTTCCCCTCCATTACTGGAAGAAACAGTCTTAGTTTTCACAGGTTTTTCTGCCTCTTCTTCAGGTCCTGGTGAAGTCGAAACAACTTACCAAGATGAGCTATTTTTGCTGAGCAGATTGTTGGGTGCAGCAACCTCATAAAGCATTGTTATGGGGAGGGTTATTACAGTGCCAGCAGTCTCTTCCACTGCTGCATATACAGCAGACAGCACATAAATACAAACAGTGAAAGAAACTGCAAGCACTTAACTAAAGCAGTACAAAAAAATCTCTACATTACACAAGTCTGAAAAAGCAACAAAGCATCAGCTCATAATTAATATGGGTCTGAAAGATTATCTAGAGAGCTGCATTTAATTTTATAAACAATCATCTGAGGTCTAGGTTGCAGTTGCACAAGTTAACATTTCACATCTGGAGGTTCCAGTTTCAAATCTAGTATACACAATTTAATTTTAGATAATATATTAGATTTCTTTACATAAGGATGCCCACATCTGTCTACAGGATCCTTTAGCAGATCATTAAAAGCATACAAGTATCTGAGACTTGAAGCTTCAACCTAATTATTTCTAATCACTATTAGTCCACCTCCCTCAATTCCATACAACTGGGAAGTCCATCTGAGAAGGGGAATCAGCACCAGAAGAGCTAATTGAAGTGAAGTGCTTTTGAAAAGTTTATATTATCCCTGGGTTTGCACCAAGTCATAGGAAATGCCCTTTTCCTGCATAAGTGACCCATGAAGCAAAGAACGGACATCACACTTGTGCTCATATACAGAATTCTCTCCACTACACCAATGGTCTTTGGAAATTTTACTGTGCTCCTGGAGCTGGTGAAACAGTACACACAAGGGCACAGCCTGTTACCTGCCGCAAGAGCAGGAGGAAGAGAAAAATTGATGAAGAATGAACAGAAAAGGCATTTCACATTAGTGGCCGGAGAACTATATAACCAAGTTGGTACTGAACTAGGTCCCTTGCCACAAAGGAAAGCAGGTGATGGGAGCACCACACAGGCATCAAATTCAGACCCCGAGCGAAGGGATTGCCTTACACTGCTCACTACAATTATCAGCAACCATGTGGAAAAGAACAGCAGTTCAAAACTAGGGGTGATTCCAAGGTTGCAGACTCAGGGGAAAGAAACAAAAATCCAGAGAAACAGAGGGAATAAAGAAACAGAGAAATCTACAAAAGGGGACATCATGCTGTTCTAGCATAAAAGAAGTCTTTAAATGACATTCATCTTAGATCTTAAACATGATACTTCCACAATACAGCCCTACTATTTTTCTTAAATGCTGATGCATGTTGCCCATCCGTATCCTTCATCTATGTATAAATTTCCCTGCCATGCTTCCCAAGTCATACAAACTGCACATCCATCATATTTCTTGCCTGGGCAGCAAGACATATCTTTATCTCACTGTATCACTCAGCAAAACAATAACCAGATGCTAACAATAGTTATTTACCCTTGAGACGATAATAGTGAAACTGACTAGGAGCTCAATGCTAATTAGTTTCACTATGCATGAGTAATACTAGCCTGTGCTGCTACTCAACTCCACCTAGGAAGAGAGAAGTAAAAGCAAGGGGGAAGGGAGGGGGGAAGAAAAGGATAAACTTACAGACAAGACACACAGAATCCAGGAGGAGACAATGAAAAAATTACTTAAGAATAGCAATGTTCAGAGTTCTAATGCTATTCCATTTGACATTTTTAAATATACATTACGGGATAATTTTTCTAAGTGTGCCTTAAAGCAGCCCTATGTGCAAAGAAGTTTTTTGTGTAATTAACCAAAGTTTTCATTTCTAAAATTCAGAAAATGATAGCTTGGGATATAGAACGCTATATTAACTAAAAATCTTTCAGTCACAAAAACACCACTGCACTTGGAATACACTGTCTTGCCAATAGACCATAAAAGACTTTCTAAAAATGCTGAAAGAAATATTGGTCTCTAACACTGTCACAAAGCTTACTATAGACAGCCAATGTCCAGATAATTAAGCTGAAGTCCAAATCAGTAAAGTGTGGAAGGCAGAAGTCAGTTTTAGCTACTACACTCAGCTGTCCAAATTAACTGGAAGGAAAGGAAGACCCGGGAATCTCACAACAAACTCAAATATAGGATTACTCTGGGGAGAAAACCCTTGCTGGTTTGCAGGCTATGGATCACAAACAAAAGGAAGGAAGGATGAAGAGCCAGCAGGATTTTATATTATTGCTTTTTTAAAAAAGCATTTTCTCAGTCAACAGTCTGGCAGGCTAATTCTCTTTATTGTGTTATTCTCTTCTCTTTCATTCCTCATTCTGGAATTTTTCTTGCTTTATCGGAAGGAATAGAAGCTAAGGCAGTGGGTTTATTGCTGACAAGCAACATATAAATGTTGTTTACAAGAGCAAAACAAAGTGATGTGTATTCCTGTAAGAGTCTATGAGGAATAACTGAAAAATGATTATTCAGATCTGACACAACTAAGAAAAAAAGCATGCAATTATTCATCAGTGATTACAACATGCCTGAACTCTATTTGAGAATTCAATTTCTGGCAATTATTCAAGAAATTGCCATTTTAATGGCACTTATTCAAGAATTCAAGTCTGGCAAGTTGACTATGCAGTGTTTCAGTGTTGGCTGAGGTTGGATTATAGTTTTATTAGTATTTCAGGATTGGCAGAAGTTACCTGAATTGGAAGTTTAACCAAAATTGATGAGTCTTCTCTGAATTTATTCATGAAAAAGTACATCTTTTTCACAAACAAGAAAATTACAATTGCATTTGAATCTTAGCTATTTCAAGAGATCTTCTTGCAAGTGCCCATATGTAATATTTCAGGTAACTGATAAATAGGGCAAGTACTTAGGTCCTGTTCTGAAATTGTGTGCATCTCCCTCTTAAGAATGTAGGACTTGATTCTACTGAAAAATCTTGCAGAAATCAGCAGATGGGCTTGCATAATCATGCCAATCAGTTTTCTAAAAAAAAATAAAAATAAAAATGCAGCAATATGCACTGAATATCACTGCAACAAGATAGAGCCCTTCATTGTCACTACATATAGAATTTTGGTGCCGCCAGATCTTAGAACCACAATACCATTATACATGGGACAACATTAGTACAGAATAGGAAAAGGTGTATGATGATGATTTTCTGGTCTCTAAAACCTCCTGTGTGTCCCCTACACATTCTCCTAAATGCAGCAATATGCACTGAATATCACTGCAACAAGATAGAGCCCTTCATTGTCACTACATATAGAATTTTGGTGCCGCCAGATCTTAGAACCACAATACCATTATACATGGGACAACATTAGTACAGAATAGGAAAAGGTGTATGATGATGATTTTCTGGTCTCTAAAACCTCCTGTGTGTCCCCTACACATTCTCCTATTCTCTCAACCCTAACCCCCCCCCCCCCTATGAGGTGGGGGGGGGGGTCGGCGGGGAACTGCGCAGCATGGGAGAGGGTGACGCTGCGGGACCACAGCGGGACAATTGGAGCTCCTCTGCCCCCGGCTTCCCCAAGTCCGCTGCTGTTGAAACTGACCAGCGGCTGACTTGGGGAAGCTGGGGGCAGAGAAGCTGGGGTGCTGCCAGGTTGATCCCGCAGCGCCGCCCTCTCCCAGGCTGTGCAGTTCCCTGCCAATCCCCCTCCTTCACCCCCACACCGGACCCCTCATAGCCCCCCTTCTGGTACGCAGGCATATCTGATAATCCGGCACCCCCTGGGTCCTAAAGGTGCCAGATTATTGGAAGTTTACTGTACATAAATAACATAGCTGGAGTCGATGTACCTTAAGCCAAACTAGGGCGGCATCCTCATTGTGGGAGGTCGATGGGAGAAATGCTCCCATTGACTTCCCTTACTCCTTGCAGTAGCAAGGAGTACTGGCATCGATGGGGGCACCTCAGTGTTTGATTTAGTGTGTCCCCACTAGCCCTGATAAATTCAATGCTGGAAGATCAACCGCTACAGCATTGATCTTCCCAGTAACCTAGGCATGCCCTGGTTGACTGGTTTGAGAATGCAAAGCCATTCATTAGGGACCATACCTGCACTGTCTGGCACTTCAAAGGGAGCGTTTAGCCTCCAATAATCCTTCCTACAGAAGCTGGTGAGATCCTCATTGCCTTTGCATCAGGACCTTCCCTGCCTACTAAAGAAACCTCGCTTTTTTAGAGACAAGGTTGTTTTATTGACATGTGGCATGGAGGGTCAGTCAGTGCAAAGTACTAGTTAGGCAAAACCCTCTGCTTTGGAACAATGAAGGGATTTTGAGTGAGATGCCTTACAAACGTCTCAATCAGGATTCAGCAAGCCAGGGGAAGTGCTAAGAGTTACAGAGCAGCTCTCGCTTCCATTTAGCAGTGCTGTGATTTCTTTCGTTGGCTGAAGATTAAAATTCCAATGTGCGCATCCTGGGGGTTGATTTTCTTTTCTGTATTTAGCACAGCACAGGGCGTGTCATAATTCTCATCCAAATGTCTTCTTTTGTTCTAAAACTAGATGAATGGAAGCCAAACAAAATGGCATGTAGCTGGTATGCTTGGTACTTAACTGATCAAGGATCCAGGATGTGACTTTGGGGAAGTCACTTAACTTTCTGTCCCTCTGTTTTCCCTTCCATAAAATGAGCATAATAATATCAACTGCCCAAGGGTGTTTTGAGCACCAGAGGCATTTGCCAAGCACTTTGAAATGTTCTGATGGAAGGTGTTATAGATGTGCAAAATATTTTTGTTATTTCCACATTGAGGAAAAGGGCCACCATTTTCAGGGGCTGAAAGTGTGAACAGCAGTGACTGAGAGACGTTTGTTTTATTGTCAAAAAGCATCAGGATTTGAAAATATGCTATATCTGCCCAGAGTGACTGACTAAATGTTGGGCCAGCCCAGGACAACCTATCTCATGGCCTATAAGACAGAATGGATGGAGAATGTTTTGTTTGAAGTGATACTAAAATACACACCAATCAAAAAACTTAATGTACTTCAGAGCTGACCTCTGTCAAAAATCTCTGAGCACGTGTGGTTGCTTTTTCTTTATTTTTTTTAAATCATCCAGAGTAGTATCAGTTTAATATCTGATATATTTACTGCTACTACTATAAGAAGTAATCTTATAGGTCTCACAAAGCCTGTGAAAGCATCAGCTATGGGCAAACTAGGAAAAGGTGGTGATTTTTTTCTATATATGCTGCATTTATACATTGCAGTTCAGCCTTAAAAACAAGGAGCCAACTCAGTTCTCCTTAGGAACTAGTTCAAAGAAATAGTATCAGCAATCCCAATCACTGAGAGAGCATGAAACAGGACTATAGAATCAAGAGCTGGGCTTAGAAGTCACAAGACTTTAAAATTAATACATGTAGGGTTCTTTTTACTTGCCTCCTGGGTTTTGAGTCTTTAAGGTTTTTCCAGTTTTTCTCTGCAATCATGAGAAGTAGAAAAAAGAAAGAAAGGGGAGATTCTGACTTCAGAAAGGAGAACTTTAAAAAAATCAAATATAGCAAGATTCACAAGACAATTGCAAGAGATTAAAAACCCTAAAAGAACCTGTGTAAAACTTTTATATAATTGCATTGTCATCTCTCTTCTCCAAAGGCAATGAAGCTCATGAAGTCCCATAACATTGCAATTTTTGTGGTGTTTTTCTACAAACTGTGTCCTTGAAAACAATCCTAATTTTGTGCAATTTTGTCTTTTTGTAAGGACCTCTGAGCACCTTCCTATAAAGCCACAGAAAGCCAAACTATGTATTTTAACGATATTTAAACCCTTCTAGGGCCCCAAACACTATAAGAAGGCATAGTATAGATACAGGGGAAAACACTAGTAGGAGCATGTATCATAAAACATGTCCGTTTTGCCTTTCAAGAGTGTGATTTTTACAAAGGAGAACAGCTTACTCATTCAGAAAGGGCAAAAAAGAAGCTCTGCCCAGAACAACTAAATCATTATATTTAAAAATTATTAAATTAATGGCCAACCTGGAATACTGATAACCTGAAGCTGAAATCAACTTCAGCTGTATGCAAGGGTTGCCCTCTCTGTCTGTGCAGTTCCCCACCGACCCCACCCCAGACCCCTCATAGCCCCCCTTCTGGTACGCAGGCATATCTGATAATCCAGCACCCCTGGGTCCTAAAGGTGCTGGATTATCAGAAGTTTACTGTAGCTGTGATCACTGTGAGAGGTAGAAAGAGAGGTAGAATTATATTAGAAAAAATGACAGCACAAAAACTCGAATGTATAATGAAATTTAGAGAAGCTAAAAAATTTCACTTGAGGACACCCAGAAAAGCTTTGCAAT